CTTGACCATCGTGCCGTCGTTACGCACGACGTTGTTTGGGTCAGCCAACACGAGCGAAAACAAGGCGCCGCACGACATCAGGATCAAAAACACCACGTACGTCGACGTCGTGGCGGCCTCGCCCTTGTTGTCGTAGTTGGTCGCGAACGACAAGAAGCCCCCGAGAGACCCCCCCAAGTTGAAGATGACCCAAAAGTACGCAAAGTACGTGCCCTTGGTCTCGGACGTGGGGTACGCCATGCACATCTGGCCTTGCGCCGTCCACAAGAAACCCGCAGAGATACCGATCACCGCGTTCGACGCATAGAAGAACGCCGTGGCGCCGCTGCTGTAAACCTTGGCCACGGTGTCGTAGTTCTTGTCCATCACCAGCAAAGACGCAGCGTACATGATGTAACCAAACGTGCCGATGAACAGCGTGTACTTGGGCCCGATCACGTTCACGGCACCGCCGGCAAACAGACCGAACAGCGCAAAGCAAGCGTACAGCAACGCCGTCGCGTTGTAATTGATGGTTTCGTCAGCCACACCCGCGGCAATACTGTTCAGTGCATTGAACAGACCAGGGCACGTGAAGCACACCATGGCCACGATCAGCACTTGGGTCAGTGCAGACGGATTCTTCCAGAACATTGCGGCTACAAGTCGAATTGAAAAGTGAGAGAGCTGTGGCTGTGGTCGGGATTATCTAGAACGTCACTGTTGTTGTTGGCGGGTGGGATGATGCTTGTGTGAACTTTGAAGTTCAAGCATGTGGAGGCTGTGCGAGTTTTACTCTATTTTGGTTGGATGGATTGCCTGTCTCTGCCGTATGGTAGACTGTACCAAGCCGCCTACCGGTACTTAACTGTTCACTTTTCATGGGAAGTTGCAAGTTCTTGATGGTGCAATACCAAGCAGGGACGCCGTGCCGTTTTGACCAGCGGAGTGGTGTTTCCTAGCGTGCCTGTGGAATGGCGATATGCTCGTCCTTATTTATCCTAATGCTGGAATGTCGTGAAATTCGATCCGTCAATTGAACTAGGACATTTCGTGGTATCCCCGTCGACTGGTGCTGTCAACGTACTACACTTGGACCAGGTGTTGATTTGATGAGTGTGCTGGACATATGTCGCTTCAACGATTGTGATGCCGAAATTCGTTGAAGAGTCGAGGAGTGTGCTGCGACACACAATTGTACGATTATCAACACATTGACCTGTGTTGTTACAACTACAGAGACTGTAGTGCCGTGTGAGTCTTGCGTGGGGGTGGATCGGTGGTTAGCAAACTCGCTCGGGATAGGGCGTTTCAGTGTGAAGCGACACGTTCATGGTTACTGTGAGATCCGATGCTTGAAGGCACGATTCTTTGCGCTCGTATTGAACCAACCACATGGACCCAGTCTAGGTCCTGGTACAATTCCCTCATTAAAATAGGTCCACTGTTGTTTTGACCCGAAATACTGTTTCAAGGAGGTTTATATGGAACTTTGTATACTCAGACCACCTCACCTCTTACTAGGGGTTAAGTGCATCTCAGTGGTTAGCGATAGCTAACCACTGGCGATGCAGTTAACCCCGGAGATTCAGCATCGTATGTACTCACTGGGGGTAGGACGGAGTCCCAGGTTACAGGAGCCACTGGCGAAAAGGTGTATCCGGATGTTTTAATTCCTTCATTGACAGTATTTCGGGTCAAAACAACAGTGGAACTATTTTAATGAGGGAATTACAGTACAACCTGTATATAGGTCCTGTGACGAAGCGGAATTTTCACCTGTGAACGCCAAGTTACATACAGTAGACAAGTGTAGAAATAAGTAACTCGTACTACGTACTAATAATAGTAGTACGAGTACTAGTATATTTGAAAACGATCGCCTTTCATTGCGCGCGCCACTTTGCAGCCAACGCATCTCTAGTACATGTACGTTGTGGTGACATGGGTAAAAAATTAACGTGTAGACATGGAAAGCGTGCAGCGTGCATGGATCATGCATTGGAAAAAGCAATTCACGCCTCCGCCAATGATTTTTGCATGAGGACATCGAAGGTGACGACGCTTCCGTCATTGGGCCAATGATGATTGAGATCACAACCTTACCGCCTGCCAGGTTCAAGTTCAGAATTGTGGACTGGGCAAAACACCTTGGGTAAAACCTACTACTCAGTATTAATACGTAACGTTACTAGTACACAAGTTCTCTGCAATTGTGTCGTTGCTCGGCTGAACTATTGATAGTACTTGTAACTAAATCGTACTTCAAGTACTATTGGAGTGGCAGGTTGACGATTGTCCGTCCGGCGCCAATTTCCATGGAAATGCCCCCCAGAATGGATATGATATCCTGAGCAAATGAACTCATCGTCCTACACTTGGCAATGTCACCCCTGGTCACCCTTGTTGTACAGTACAGTAACGTTACCGTACAAATAGGAGTCGATGCAATTTTATGAATTCAGAAACGTCAAAGTGGTGACAAGTAAAGGTAAAGTGATGGACAAAAGCGCCTTGTTCCAATGGCATCTCCACCCGTTGAGTTCGCAATTCTATTGTTGAGTTCGCAATTCTATTCCGTCAAACGAACCAGTAACGTTAGCCCTGTAACCCTCGGAACTTCTGGACTCCTTGTGTTGTTATTCCCGGGGTTGACCAGTGCTTTGCTATCGCAACCACACCGCAACTGAAATGCACTTAACACCTACTACCGGTAGTACAGTACCATAGCTCGATTGTACTACACAACATTTGACATGATAGGAACAAGTGAATTGATTACAAAAGCAACAGTGTCTCAGGAAATTACAGAGTTCTCTATACCACTTTGAAAATCACATGCTACTTGTTGAAGCAAGCAGAGAAGTGTAAGTCGTCGTTGGTTGATAATCCCGACCACAGCCACAGCTCTCTCACTTTTCAATTCGACTTGTAGCCGCAATGTTCTGGAAGAATCCGTCTGCGCTGACCCAAGTGCTGATCGTGGCCATGGTGTGCTTCACGTGCCCTGGTCTGTTCAATGCACTGAACAGTATTGCCGCGGGTGTGGCTGACGAAACCATCAATTATAACGCGACGGCGTTGCTGTACGCTTGCTTTGCGCTGTTCGGTCTGTTTGCCGGCGGTGCCGTGAACGTGATCGGGCCCAAGTACACGCTGTTCATCGGCACGTTTGGTTACATCATGTACGCTGCGTCTTTGCTGGTGATGGACAAGAACTACGACACCGTGGCCAAGGTTTACAGCAGCGGCGCCACGGCGTTCTTCTATGCGTCGAACGCGGTGATCGGTATCTCTGCGGGTTTCTTGTGGACGGCGCAAGGCCAGATGTGCATGGCGTACCCCACGTCCGAGACCAAGGGCACGTACTTTGCGTACTTTTGGGTCATCTTCAACTTGGGGGGGTCTCTCGGGGGCTTCTTGTCGTTCGCGACCAACTACGACAACAAGGGCGAGGCCGCCACGACGTCGACGTACGTGGTGTTTTTGATCTTGATGTCGTGCGGCGCCTTGTTTTCGCTCGTGTTAGCCGACCCCAACAACGTCGTGCGTAACGACGGCACGATGGTCAAGGTGGAGCGTTTGCCCAACCCCGTGTCCGAGTTCGTGGCCACGCTCAAGACGTTCTTGGACCCCAAGATGCTGCTCATGTTCCCGCTGTTTGCGT